CTCACTGCTCTGGCTTTGCTGATTTGGAACTACCCTCAGACTGCTGAGACACTTCTGCAGCTGAGGAACGACCACTGCTGCCATTGGGCATCCTGTTTTATTTTTTTTCTCCAGCCTAAGGAAAGAATCTCGTGCAATTGCTCAATACTTTGTGAGGGGCCAGGGGAGTCCTCACTCTTCAGGGAGAGAGTCCTGCCAAGCCCCCTTTCCATCCCCTCACAGCAGGGAGAAAACCAAAGAGAAAACCAAGCCAAGGGCCAAGCTCCCTGTTCTCCAGCCAGGGCTGGGTTAGGGTGGCTGAACAGAGGCAGCTTCCCCAGAAAAGAGGGAACCAGGACTGACTGTAACAAAACCAGGACAAGGAAGAAGTCTGACCTCCTGGAAAATGGTGCTATGTTTGGACTATTCCTGACTAGTCACTTGAAGCTATGGACAGTTTGTTATTTCAGTTCTCAGCTATTCATGTTTAAAAAGAGAAAGGAACTTTGTACAAAACTGGAGATTTTTAAAAAATTGCTTTCAGAGTAAGGAAATGGTGCCCATGGGGTTGTCCTTGCATGGGCAGGTTTCTGAGGCAGTTGATAACTGATCCTGTTAAAAGACTGTGTTCTGTTGTTTTTAAAATCATGTCAATTTGTTCAGATTTTAAAAGCTGAAAAACTGTTTGTACTGGAAAGGAAGAAAATAAAGTATTTCTTGCTGAGGTTTCCAGGATCAAAATGACTTGTGTGGCTTCCAGAGGTGGCAGACAAGGAGATGACTTACACTCACACACAGGGGTCAGGGAAGAAGGTAGATGTCAGACTGGAGGAAGGAGCCCAGCAGTGCTTCTGACTTTGTTTCACTTTATAATGTCCCTTGAAGAGAGAGTTGGGGATGTTCAGCCTGAAGAAGAGAGAGCCATGGGGAGGCCTCACTGCAACCTTGCAGGGCTTGAAGGGTCCCATAGGAAAGATGGGGACAGAGTGTTCAACAGGGTCTGTGGTGGGAGAAGGGGGAATGGATTTCAACTGCAGGAGGTTGATATGGGTTGTATCAAAGGAAACTGGTATTTTACACTGAGGGTGCTGCACCACAGGCCCAGGCTGGGCACAGAGGCTGTGGATGCCCATCCCTGGGAACATGCAAGAGCAAGCTGGATGAGGCTCTGATCAACCTGGTCAGGGGGGAGGTTGCTCAACGTTGAGACAAGATGAACTTTAGGGCTCTTTCCAACAAAATCATGACAGGATTCCCTCCTTTAACAGTCGCCATAGTCCAAAGCAGAGTGGTCCTGTGAGTCACATATGTAATCAACGGAATTTGCACGGTTTCTCCCTCCATGGTAATAATTAACCTATCCACATGACACCCTTCATAAAGCGAGGAGCTGTCAATCAGCTGGCTGTCACTGAGTTTCCCGCCACAGGCAGCATGCTCACTTTCGTCCCGATGAAGGTACAGTGCCATTCCATGGCGGTGGGCTGGGGCTCTGGGGGATGGTGTGGGACCAGTAGCCACACCATGTTCCCCTAAGGCAGTACAATCTCATTCCCCTGCCAGAGGAGGATGAGCCATCAGCTGTGGGAGCATAGAGAGGACATGTGGCCCCCCCAGCACTTGCCCAGCCCTGCCAGGTGCTCACAGCATCAGAATCCACTCTCACTGCTCTGGCTTTGCTGATTTGGAACTACCCTCAGACTGCTGAGACACTTCTGCAGCTGAGGAACGACCACTGCTGCCATTGGGCATCCTGGAAAACCTGCCCTTAGAATACAAAACCTGTTTTTACAGAGGGTCTGTGGTGGGAGGTACAATGCTTAAGCAGAGTAAGCCCAATCACATTTTAGAGAGGATTTCGAGCCTGGCTCCCACTTCTAATGCACAGGGCTAGAGCAGACAAGAGGCAGCCTGGATTAAGGCACTATTTATTATTGTTTTTAGTTCAGAACACTCAAAACACCAGCTTCTTCCCTCGACCTTCACAAGTTGGTGGGCAGTTTCAGCTATCAAACTGCCTGCAGCTGGACTGTCTGGAACACTGGTTATACCAGAGGTAGTAACAGCTATGTCAGAGGCTCATCAATAAATACAACAGTGAACATCCACCACCTTTAAAAAAGAGCCAGGCTTTGGAGGAGCTACAAACATCGGAAGAGACTCAGCTTTCAGGAATTTGTGTTTAGCAACTGGAGTTTTTGTAGAGTCTGAGCTCCCTCTTACCCCCTTTGGCTTCCTTCTAAGGGGTATCATGACCTCTATCACAAGTGCAAAATGCCCAAGCAGCAAAGAGGGAGGATGAGGTGCACCTGGAGCATTTAGACCTGGCAAAGAACATGCAGGAGAGCTCTGGGTCAGGTCTCCACAGGGATGGGGTTAGAGAAGCCATCCAAGTCAATATCAGGCAGTGGAGATCTCCAGTAGGGAAGGTGGCTGTGCCAGACCAGTGCTCCCCCTCTGTCCCACAGGAGGGAAGAAGACCTCCACCAGCTCCGACAGCCGCTCATATCTGTGGGGGTAAGAAAGAAATTACACTGGGGTCATTTGGTGTTTGTTTGATGCTTTTCTGCATCAAAGCCAGGTCATCCCAAAGACCCTGAGGAATAAACACTTTGCTTACGTTGACTTTTGGTTCTTTGTGAGCTCCTGGATCAGCTCTCCCTTGGGGTTTACTGTGAATATGCGGCTCTCTGGCAGCCCCACTTGTTTGTAAGCATAGACATCCTGCCCAAGGAAGGCCAGCACACCATGAGAGCTGTAGGAAGGCACTGCCACCCAGCCTGAACCCTCCCTGCACACTCACATTGGGCCTGTTCCCGAAGCCCGCGTAGAAGGGACACTTTGTAGCAAACAGTTTTCGGATGTCTGTCAAGCAGGTGACCTTGAACACCTCTGGCTTCTTCTCAATCACCTCCCTGCAGCACAAGAGACACTGCGGCATCAGCTGGCCAGGATTGTAGGCACCAAACCTGTCTGGGGCTCAGGAAAGTGATTTGAAGGGTAAGAGGTTTTGTGCATCAGAAGCTTCACTGTGCCCCAGCAAGGTCAGGCAGCTCCCCTGCTGCCTCCCACAAAAGGCACTGTGCACCAAGGAGGGCAGAACAATTTAAGGCTGGGACATCCCTCGGGGTCAAGCTGGGGAAGGGGATGCTATCCCCAGGGATACAGGAAGTGCAGGGAAAGACATTACCTGTGGAAGGCAGACATGAGACTGCTGGGGGAAAGCAGCATGGGGCCCATGGGGAGGCCACAGCCTTGCTCATTGACCCATTTGAGGTAGCCTTTGGTAATGTGGGCCATGCCAATAGCCCTGGCCGAGCAGTAGAGGAACTTGTAGCCATTCCTAGAGAGAACACAGGGAGCCCCTCTGAGCTGTGGCCTGGGCAAGGCATTCTCCTGCTCTGAGGAGAAAGAGGTAGCCAAGTACCTGCCCTAAGAGCAAATCTTATTCCAGTAAGCAAGGTGGTTCCACAAAGAACAAGAATCCCTTATCTGGAAACCCAGACTAAGCCCTGTCCCCACACTGGGAGTCCCTGCACCACCCTCCATGCTCATCCCAGCAGCCACACACCCGCTCACCCAGCTGCACAGCACCCATTGCTGCTCAGCACCCTCACACAGCACTTTCATCCCACAGCACTGCCTGTCAGTGGTGGAGGGCTGTCCCCAGCCCTAGCAGACGCCCCGGCAGGGGACAGCTCGGCAGAGGTGGTACCGGCTGGCCAGAGGCAGCCGAGGTGCCAGTCCCTGCATTCCTCGGGAGTGCATCACTCCCGTGTTCCAACCCGGGACAGAACGAGCCATGCACGGGCCCACAGTGCCTCTTAGTGGCCAGAGGGACCAGGGACTGAGTAGAGGCTCCTCAGGGACTCGCTGCTGGTGTCACCCTCGCAGGTGAGTCCCGTGGGCTGTGGGTGCCCAGAGAGGTACCAGCACCGCAGTGCTGGGGACCCCCGTGCCACCACTCTCAGGTATGACCTTAGGTGGTCTTGTCTCCTCCACCGCTCAGCTGTACCGCCCCAGCAAAGCCTCCACTGACACACACTTCTTCCAGGGAAGGTAATGCCAGCAGCTGCTGCCAGGGGACCCTCTGCTTTCACCCTCCAACATGATGTAGGCAGCACAGCCAGCATCAGCCACCACTGACAGCAGACAGTGCAGCTATCTGGGCCTGCATCAGCCAGTAAGAAGCCCTGACTCTGACTCCATCAGCTTCCCACTTCCCCTTGGCCTCAGCTGATCCAGTACCTACAGGTGGATTTTGTGGAAGAGTTTCACAATCCCACGGTGAGTCCAGTCTTTACCCAGCTGTGGCAAGATGTGTCCAAGAGCATCTGATCTAAAAGGAAATGACACTGGGTTAGTGCCATCCAATGTGGTGAATATCCCCACCCCAATGGGGTTTGTGCTCCCTTCTGCCTGCTTATGCAAGCTTAAAGGCTTTCCCCTAACAGGGGAGAACAAGGATTTTGGTTACTTGGTGATGGTGCCATCGATGTCTGAGATCACCACTTTTTCGTTCCAGTTCCACAGGTAGATAGTGGCCTCACAGCGGCACGTGCCCTGGTACTGAGTTGTCACGCTGAATGCCACCTCGTTGGGGCCATCCTGCAGATTCAACCTTCCCTGGGGAAGAGAGGCAGCAAAAGTGTTACACCAGCAACAATTCACACCACTCCAAGGCTTGCCAGAGGTCAGACTGCCACCCTGCCAGGCCAGAGATCCCAAGACTCTACAGGGTGGCCAACAGGGAAAAATATTTGGATGTTCTATGAAAAAATGAGGTCAGGAGCAGAGAAATCCCTATTTAAGGGTTGTCTCATCCCTACACACATGGACAGTGAAGATGGAGGAATAAATACATACAATTTGTTCAGAGGAGAGCCGCAGGGATTTCTTGTAGGCTGGCAGAAGTTTCTGAGCAGGGCCCTCCATTGCCAACATGTCCCCAGGGTGCAGGAGCTCACTGTCACTGGATGACTCCTTTTCCTCCTGCCTACACAAAGAAGGGAAAGGGTCAGCCATAGTCTTAACAAAGCTTTTTACCCTCTTCTGTTGGGCAAACTTGGGAATAACTCATGATGTAGGAGAAAAGACCAGGAGCATCCAGAATCCTGAAGGTGACCTGGGAGGGAGACACTCATCTCTGCTGAGCAGGGTCAGGCTGCAGCATTCCCACATTGGCTTACCCTATCTTGTAGGCTGGCAGAAGTTTCTGAGCAGAGCCCTCCATTGCGAACATGTCCCCAGGGTGCTGGGGCTCATTGTCAGTGGAAGACTCCTTTTCCTCCTGCCTACACAAAAAAGGGAAGGGGTCAGCTAGAGTCTTAAAAAAGCTTTCTACCCGCTTTTATTAGGTAAACTTAGGAATATTTAGTCACATAGGAGAAAAGACCAGGAGTATCCAGACTCCTGAAGAGGGAGGCACTCACCTCTGCCGAGCTCCTCTATGCCACAGTGCTCCCATGCTGGCTTTCCCTGGCCTTGGCTGCTGCTGCAGGCAGAGAGAGGTGTGCTGGTTTTGGTTAATTTTCTTCACAATGACTGGTATGGGGCTGTGTTCTGGATTTAGGCTCAACAGAGTGTTGGTAACAGAGATGTTTCTGTTATTGCTGAGCAGAGAGCAAGCTAAGAGCAAGAGTAGGGGCTGCTTTGCTTTTCTTCCAGTTGGAACAGCAATGCCAAAAGAGGTATCACTGCAGTCCCTGCCTTCACAGGGACACTGCTGGTGGAAGAGGAAGCACAGCCTGGTGCTGTAGTGGGGCAGGGAGACTAGCAAGCACACGTGGTGCCCAGGGACCTGGCATGATGGGCACATAGCAGGAGGTCTCAACACTACAAGGCCCACATTACTGCATTACCAGGTGTTGCTCTGCTGCTCAGGCATTAACAGACCAAAGGGGACAGGTAGCAACCTTAAGAACTTGTCACCTTTTCAGGTCCTGGATGTCCTCATAGTCAACCTCAGGCCATCCCCAGGAACCTGCTCCCACCCCTGACAGTCAGCAGAATTGATGCTTGTCCCCTGGAGACATGATTGTCATATCCCCTGCTGCAAACATACCCTCTCTGTTGGCAATTCTCTCCTCTTCCAGGAGAACCAATACTTTCTGTCTTTCTTAAGCATCTTCTCCTTCACCAATTCGTCAATGATGCTCTGTGAACATGGCAGAATATGGGATGAGTCTTGTCTCCTTGAGGTCAGTCCTCAACCCAGGCCCTGCTGAGAATCATAGCCAGTAAATGTATTGTACCACTGACCTCAGGAATGTTCCTCTGGAAAGCCTGCAGAGCCAGGATTATGGGACCAGCCACAGCCCAGTTGTAATACCTGGAAAAAGCAAGAGGGATGGGCACATCACCATCCTGCAGCATGGCCAGGTCCCACAACTTTGGTACAATCATGCTCTGGGATGGAGTCTCATTCCTACAGGAGGGTTTCCACAGGGACAAAGGGGCCATGCTGTCCATTGTGGGATGAAGCAGAAGGAAGAGCAGGCCACTCACTTCTTGTTGATCATTATCACCAGGTTTGGGTCACTGATGAGCCTTGGATTCTCAGCAAACTGCTGGTAGGAAACCATGTGTTCCATGAACTTCTCTGGTGGGACAGAAGCTGTGTCATGCCATTGGAGGATAGAAAGGATTTCAGGGCTGCAGATTCCCCCTCCTCTCCTACCTACCATGAGAGATCTGCCTGTTGCCCCTGAGGCCCCCGCACAGTGACAGGGAAACTGTGGGCATTGATCCAGAGTCCATGGGGCTGTTGGCAGGCAAGGTGGATGGCAGCTGGATACACAGAGGGTTGCTAGGGTCTGTCACAGGCCTCCAACTCTGTTCTGTGTCACTGCCAGGGAAGAAATAGTGGTGACATCAGAGAATAGCTTGAAACGTACCTCCACACCTTTGTGCCAGAGGAATTGCTCAAAAATGTTTTGAGTTTGATCAGCTGGGGCAACTCATACCTGTCAAACAAATAGAGAGGCACTGGCTTTTTGTCCGGCTTGGAGAAATCTTCCAGGTAAATGGCACTGGGACCCAAGTGAGGACTTCTTTTGATGGATCCTCAATGCATAGACAGAAGAGAGAGAACTTAACTTAATCATCTTTCCAATCACCCCAGCATCTATTGAGAAAGCCAACAGCATTTTCCTCAATCATATCCATGTACCATACATATTCCTACTGGGAAAACTGCTATAAGTCTACAGCAACAGAAGTGCCTCAAGACACGTGCATGATCCTTATATACACTGTGAAGGGGGAAACATAAATGCTTCTCTCATTTTCCCCGACTTGGCAAGCTCAGGATGAAGACACAAGTCAGGCCAGGTGCTGTCAGACACTTGAAATTAAGGTATGGCCTGTACTGCTGAGAATCTTCTAAATATGCAAAAGCAGAGACATCAAAGGATGGACTTCAGGGAACATAAGGCAAGAAAGCCTTTCTGGGAGCTGGGTGGTCACTGAAAGGTGGACACCTGAGGGATGTCTCTTCAAAGCAAATGAGCTGGTAGCACACAGAGAAGGCAAAGCAAACACACCACACCTGGAAGTACACTGAAGGGACAACCCAGGTGCTCATCTGAGTCAGACACATCTGCAGGCTCCAACATCACTTCAAGCAGCACCAGTCACCCTCTCACCTTGCCTCCTCTGCCTCTCCAGCTGGGACATGGGGCCTTCTGAGCCTCCCTGCCTTGAAACGGCTCCCTCAAAGGGCTCCACATCTGGCTGAACCTCTGGCACAACATTCACATCTCCCTTCTGTTTCTCTTGTGGGACTGAGTAGGCCCCCAAAAATCTCTTTGCCCTGACAGCACAGAGGAAGTCCTTCAGCCTGGAGATGCTGTTCCCAGCCTGGGGTGCAAGTATTGGCTCAGTTACAGACACAGGCAAAGAAGGGGGTATGCCCTGAGGACCTGCTGGGCTTGAATGCCCTCCTGGATGTTCAGAGGTGGCAACAAGAGGGGTTTCATCATCCACTGGGACCAGTGTCGCTGAGTTGGTGGCTGCTGCAGCAGCAATGCTCTTTTTGGACTTGAATGATTTAACTCCCAGCAATTTATTCACCTCAAAGAAAGCACAAGAACAGATTTGAGGATGGGAAGTTGCCCAAAGCATCACACAGAAGAGGACAACTTCCCTAAGGCTGCCTGGCCACAGCCTCTTCTGCTTTCTGCAGGTCTTTTGGACACCCATTCCCAGCAAAAGAGCAAGAGCAGGGACTCACCTGAGGGAGCATTCCCCAGGTCCACTTCATGTGGGATTCAGCCCCTAGAGAAAAACTTTCCTGTCGTTTGATCTCCAGTTCAGAATCACTTTTGGAAAATTGATGGCTCAGCATGAAGCTGCAGGAAGAGAAGGTGATGTGAGGCCTCACCTACACTACAGCCCCATGTTCTCCTATCAGTGCAAGGACATTTAGGGTCAAGAACCCTGTAACACTGGTTTCTCATGAAGTCACTTGTACCCTAAAACACTGTCACTCCCAAAGGACCAAGGTCTATGGAAACTGAAGCCCAAGGAAGCAAAGTGCTATGCCAGCAGTTGCCCAGAGCAGCTCATCAGCAGACAGCCCTGTGCACACAGGCTTCTCACGCCTGTGACCATGGCCACAAGTGTCCCTTGTGGTCTCTGAGCTTTCCTCCAGCCACACCATATCAGGCTAGGAAAACCCTCCTCTCCTGACACCTCTAAGTCACTTTTCTCTACCTCCTTCCCTGCCATGAGACATGTGCCCTGCTCTCACCAGAACTGAGCAGGACACCTTGGCTCTGCCCATTACCTGTCCCTTTCAGGCAGCTCCCCATCAGAGTATGGGTGTATCTCTTGGGGCTGCAACAATCCAGTTTCTTCAAGGAGATCAGCAAAGGATGAACATGCTGCATTACTGCAAAGGAGGAAAGAGAGGGAACTTGTGCTACTCTAAAGCAGCATCCTCCCCTCCAGAAAGCTAGTAATATCCAGCTTCACCATTCCCCTGGCTTTCTACTCCAGAGGAGACTGGACTCCAACTTGCAAATACTTTCCCCCTGTTTCAGTACTGCTGGGCATCACCAAATGAACCCACAGGCTTTACCTACTGCATCACCCTGTCTGGACCAAGCAGCTCACCTTGGGGCTGGCAGCTTGCAGGGCTCTTTTATGGTCACCTCACTTTTGGTCTCATCACAGCTGTCAGAATCCAAGTCCAAGACTTCATTCTTCTTGGGCTTTCTCTTGTGTCGCCTCCTCTTGTGCAGGATCACTCCAGCACTGGAGGCCTCGAGGCCATGGGAGGGCTGAACTTCATCCTTTGGGCTCCGCTCCTTGCAGATGGGGGATGTGCGGAGGAAGAAGGGAATGCTGCCCTGGAACAGGGGTGGGGAAGAGCCCATCAGCTCCCTCCAGCACACTCCTTTTCAGCCTAGCAGCTCCTTGCTCTCTATGGAGCATACTATGGAGCAGCACAACCACCACCACCAAGCCCTCGGCTCAGGGGTGGTTTTGTGGCCTGGCCCAAAAGGAAAGGATTTGTACCTACAACGTGTGAATAAAAGAACATTCGGGCAATCCAGCCACAAGCTAAAGACACTTTTAACACAGGCAATGAGAGACAGGCAGGAGATGGCACCACAAGACCAGAATTACCAAGGCTGAAAATGGGATTTCACTCCAGAGCCCTTTCCTACTTCCAAACCCAGCCCAAGCCAGCAGTGACCACAAGCATGCCTGAGAGAAGAGCTGCCAGGATTTCTGGAAGCCACAACTAGTCTCATCCCACTTCCCACTGGAGCAGGGAGCCTGCCACAGCATCTGTCTCATTGTCATCCCAGTCACAAGATCCTCTGAGAGGCCAAGCTCCAAGAGATCCACCTGTCTGGCCAGCAGGTGTGCCCATTGATGGAGACCAGTCTGGGATGCAGATATTTGGTCTAATACTCCCTCAGGGTGCTCCATAATGTGGGTTGCAAGGTCCTTTGAGCAGGAACGTTTCCAGACACAGAAAACATAAGATAGGACAATGGAGTCACTCTAGGGAAGAGTAGCATTCCAAACCTGGTCATTCCACCTCAACCCTGCACTTCCAGGTAGTCACACGCAGCACCTCTTCATAACCAACCTCATGTTCCTCTGACTCCTCAACAAAGAAGGCCTCTCCATTGTCTCCCAGCTTCATGTGCAGATCCACAGGCTCTCCATTGATTTCAATGTCAACCTAGCAAGGGAGAGAAGCAGCCTGTTCATCTGAACCCCCTCATCCACTGGAGCACAGAGGCACTTCCAGATGGAGGGGATGGGTTGAAGTTGCTCACAGGGCAACAGCTGTGACAGCTGTGACAGCCACACAGCCTTTGAGTCAAGGGACCTCTCCCAATTTTCCTGGAGAGCACATTCCTCCCTGGAAATGGATGGGCTCCATTTGGGGGCATCCCCTCAAATCTTGGCCCCTTTCAGTGGGCTCCCGTTCCCCCCAAAGTCTTTCCATAACCTGTGGGTAACAGAAGATCCTGGGTCTGGAGACTGGAAAGGAAGTGTAGCCCCAGGGCAGGCACCACTTACCACCTTCTCCTTGGAGCGCAGCACTCCCAGCTTCCCAAAGCGCACATGAAATGGGGAGCACTTGAAGGAGTTGTCAGGCTGCCTCACCACGACCACATCGATGCAGCCTGACAGGGTGGCAGGGTTCAGATCCTGGTACAGCCCCTTCACTGTGATGAGGAAGCTCTCAGCCAGCTGCCCCACATAGTTCATGGTTTGAGACTGCAAGTGAGAGATGGGGATAGACCCAGGTAGGGGAAGAGAACTCCAGCAACTAAAGGAAATGTGAGTTTACTTTAGGAGAATCATATCATGGCTGCAACATAGCCCCTCCAGGTAAGCCTCTAGAGAAACTGAGACAAACACCTGAAGGCCTTGATCAAGGTCAGCCATGGCCTCTGTGAGCGCCAGAAAACAGGACAGAAGCCAGAACATAAGTTACTGCACCCAGCTTGGAGGAGAGATACCCTTGCCATTGGGATACACCATCACATTTGCTCCTTGAGAGGGCAAATACAACCTCACAGCAACACTGCACAGTCAAACAAGAATCGGGCTGGTGGGACACCTCCTGTCCTGCAGTGTCCTTAGAAATTCCCAAACAACTCACTGCAGAGAGGTGGGAAGTCCAAGCTGCTCCATATACCACACATTCACTTTGAATAAAGTCCAAACCTAACATTTCCCTCTCAGAGGGAAAGGCATCCCACTTAGGCATTGCAGAATTGGCCAGCCATGGCTCCTGTACAAGTCAGAACTCTTGTGCTAGGCAGTACAGCCAGGTGATGGTGTGGTGTCCCCAAGGACTCTCAGCACAGCCCGCAGTGCACGCCCAACCCAAAGGGTGGCTGTGGGGATGTTGGTTCCTTACCCAAAGGGATGATGACGAGCATGTGCCATGCAACAAGCCCTCTGCCCCAGCAGGTACCCAGCCTCTCCAATCCATTTTGCATGAGCTCAGCCCTGTCCCATGCTCAGGCATCCCTCCTGGAAGGCAGTCTGAGCAGGCAGATGTGGTTCCTGCTCCATGCCCCGTCCCCCACCTCTCCCTGGCAGCCAGCAGTAAGCCCAAATCTCAGATCCTCTCTGGACTATGACAGCGGGGAAGTGCTAGCCAGCTCCCGAAGCTTCGGTGGCTCCATCAGCTCTGCTGTGAGCGGGGCCTGGATCATGGGGCCTCCCACCAACCTGCTGAGCCCAGCTTTCCCAGGCACTGCTGCCAGGGTGGGCAGCCCTCCAGCTGCCATCCCTGCTGTGCTGCCATCCCTGCTGTGCTGCAGGGCCTGGCAGCAAACGGGAGACAGCTCCTCTCTGCACAAGGGGGCAGTTTTGGAGAGGAGGAATGATCAGATTGATCCTGATGCTCCCTGGGAAGCACTGATGAGCTTCCAGTTGAGGTATACACTGACACAGACCTGAAAAGTGCCTGGGCAGAGAAATCCCACAGGAATTGGGGTGGGGGTCTTGAAATTATCCCCAAGTATGATGCACTGAGTACCACCTTCATGGTGAAAGCAGAGTGCAAGAGCTAAAGATAAGACTGCAAGCACAAAGCAAAACAAGTGCCAGGGCCACGTCCCCTCTGCAGGGCCACTGTCCCCCCTTGCCTCAATGGGCAGCTGCCCCCTCCCCAAGCATCTCATTGCTGGGCACTGCATGGCTGTGGTACAGTTTTCAGCTCACTGAATTTAATTCCCTGTGGGCCTCACCTGGAATGGCTGGAGGAAGGCAGGGAATGGAGAGAAAGAGGCTTTACCCTGCAGGCCTCGGCCCCACCATGGATGGAGCAGGCCCCTTAGGGAGGTGAAGGGTAGGTTATGGTCTGGAGAGAGATTAATAGGCAGACAGGGCAAGAGAAATGTTCTTCAAGTCATATTCAATAAATAAACCCTCTAGAGGAATGGGGCATCTCCAGCCCTCAGTGCTCAAACCAGCCAGGATCACAGCCAGGATCACAGCCAGGATCACAGCCTGCACCACGCAGCTCCTGTGGAGGATGAAGGGGACAGTCCTCCCCTGCTGACAGCTCGCATCAACCTCCAGACCCAAAGAGCCACCCAAAATAAACCAGGTGCTTTGCTGACACTGCTCTGCTTTGCCCCTGGGCCACCCTGCCTGCAGCACACCCACACCCACACCCACACCCACACCCACACCCACACCCACACCCACATCATTGCATGCTGCAAACCAACAGGGTTTACCTGTTACCCCGTTACCTGCTGAGCCTCAGCACCTCTTCCTTCGGGACAAAACTAAACCCCAGGGGTTGCTCTGTGCTGGCAGCAGCACTCACCCTCAGCTTCTCCTCTCCCTGCTGCCTCCTTCCTTCCTCTCCCCTGAGGGAAGGGCTGAGGGCAGGGCCTGTCTTCAGGCTGCACACTCTGCCTCCCGCCCGGCCTCTGCGGCCCTGCAGGCCCAGGGATGGCACCTGCAGGCCCATCCAACAGCCCCTCTGCTCCAGCAGCCCTGGCCACTGCTGCCTTGTGCCCATGGAGAGCCTTCCTTCTCGAGGCTGCACCTCGAGTGCTGTGTCCAGTTCAGGCCACTCAGTTTAGGAAGGACATGGAGACGCTTGAGCTCGTGTCCAGAGGAGGACAACGAGGCTGGTGAGGGGCTTGGAACACAAACCCTGTGAGGAACGGCTGAGAGAGCTGGGGTTGTTCAGCCTGGAGAAAAGGAGACTCAGGGGTGACCTTATCACTCTCTACAACTCCCTGAAAGGTGGTTGTGGTCAGGTGGGGTTGGTCTCTTTCACCAGGCAGCAATTAACAGAATGAGAGGACACAGTCTCAAGTTGCATCAAGGGAAAATTAGGAAAAAGTTTTTCACGGAAAGAATGATAAAGTATTGGAATGGTCTGCCCAGGGAGGTGGTGGAGTCACCATCCCTGGATGCATTTAAAAAAAGACTTGGTGCCATGGTCTAGTTGAGGCATTAGGGCATGGGTTGGACTTGATGATCTTGAAGGTCTCTTCCAAGCTAGTCATTCTGTGAATTCTGTGAAAACTCCAACACACATCCTGCGGTGAAGTCTTAATGAGACATAAAGGGTGGCCAAACCCCAGGGGCTTCTCTGCCCTGCATCATCTCCATGGGAATGGGAAAAGAGGGCACAGTGAAAGGAAAGCACATAAAGCAGACACTTTAAGAAAGTTGGTGTTCTCCACATCTCAGGGAGCCTGAGAGCAGTGGGGAAGTGATGTGGGAATAGCTGGGTGGACTCAGATGAGCAACTGAGGCAGCAGGGCTTTTTTGTGGCCCTCAAAAAGTGCATTTACTCCCACCATACTATAACTCCAGTGCAAGGATGTGGCTGGTGTGGGGTCTGTCCTGTATTTACCTGACTTCTGTGCTGGTGATTCCCCAGCAGCCTCTCTGCTGGGCTTTGGAGTGGTGGGGATTGAGTGGTGACACTTTAGGGATGGAGACTGTCCAACACATCATTCAAGGAGCTGACAATGTGCTGTGAGAGCAAGGAAGCGTCAGAGCTGGAGGGTGGCTGCTTAGGACATCTTTAGTCCCTAAGAAGAAGGATCCAAAGCTTGTTGGTCCCAGCTGAGGGGTTGATCTGCAGAAATGTCACAGCTCATTCCCAGGCAAGCCCTGCTAGCACCCAGTGCCTCACTTTCCTCAGCTATGCTGATGGCAATTGCAGGCACAGAGACTTCCCCTGTGCCTGTCCAGAGCCAAGCATGGTCTGGGCACAAGATCCCAGGCCCAACATGGGAACTTTCCTGAAGACTGTGACAAATCTGCTGAGGAATGAAGATTATTTTCTAGGATTTTAGTCTTCTGAGAGCTCTGCCCCTTGGTGGAATTGACTGAAAGCAGCTATTGTGGGTGGCCTGGCATGGCTGCGGTCCCTGAGGAGGGTGGGCTGGCACTGCAGGGCAGGCAGCTGCCACCAAACCCCACAGCCCATGGCCACGTCACTGGGAACTTCTTCCCAGCAGAGAAGGATCTGCTGGAACCTCCATCAAGACACCGTGGGTGTGACACTCCAGGTGATGTCCTTAGACTGGTGCTCACTGATGCCACTGGAGTGGGTCTCACCCAGGGCAGGGGGTTACATGCTGCAAGCCCTGAGGGTGTAACACAAACCCCAGAGCTGGAACACAAAAGCAAGGACAGATCTGGGCTGCAGATGCCTGGTAACTGGTAAAAAATGCTGCATATGACACTCAACAAAGGACATTGGGGCACAGGACACCATTTCTTCCTCAGCCATCTGAGTGCATCCACAGATGAACATGGAGAAGAAACAAAATGCCAGCAGGAGCAAGGAGGCAGCTCAGCCTTGCTGTGGCTCCAAGCCCCCACCCTCTTGACACAGGGATGAGCTCCTGGCACTTGGGCACCCTACAGAAGTACAGACCCCATCACTTACCTCCAAGGCTCCTTGCCCAGCTGGTTTTCCTCACCAATCCATACCCCTGGTTCCTGACACATCAACCTTTGCTCGTGCCCCCATGCCCTGCAGCAGATCCTCAGCTATGCCACGGCTGTTCTGAGTGGTGACTGTTCCTCTCTGCACTCTTCCCTGCAATCCAGGCTTTTACTTCCCTCTTCTTTCCTTCCTATTCCTCCAAAAAGCTTAGAGCACTTTTAATTGCCGTGGTAATTTCTTGCAAAGCCATAAAATCATCCTTGGTTCCTTCCAGCTGCTTTTCATACTCCCTCTTACTCACATTTGCTCTTTTTTGGAAGGTAAGCCTTGCAGATCCATCCCTCCCTGTGCTTGTAACCCTGCAGCACCCAATTTCTCTGCGAATCTTGTACATCCTCCCCCAGGAGCTGCTCCAGCAGGGAGAGGTTTCTTCTCTCTTTTGGGAACTCTACAACCCACAGATGTTTGCAATGAGCCTTTGCATAATGAGACTGATTTTTTTATTAGTCAACTGAGATGCAGTATTTTCAGCTCCTTGCATTCCAAAAAGCTCATAGACACATCCAACTTGGCAGTTTTGGTCCTGCATCCCAGCACTCTCCATCCTTTCTGGATGGCAGTCTTCATCCCTAACGGGGCACTTCTGCCTTGTGGGCTCCCCATACCTCCACTGACTGTCATATTGAAAGCCCTGCATCCTGAGATCCTGGGCTTCTCTAGAAAAACTCCATCATCCATCCATCCATCCATCCATCCATCCATTTGGCAGTTGGAAGCACCTACAAACTGCCCAGGAGCCTCCTGAATTTTCCTCTCTCCCAAA